CCATAAAGATGGGGGAAAATGGCATTCAAAAGTATATATATCAATATTCATAAATATCTTAAAAGAAAGAAGAGTACTTTTTTATCCCGTGACCCTTAAGTTCGTTGGGGACCATTTGTACTACTGTCAACGTAGAAGTCGTGTTTCTTATTGGGTTTTGAATTCAGAGATTTTCTTTCTCCTAGACAGGTTGCCACCCAAGGCTATAGAACACAATCACTGCTATTTACCCATAGCTGGGAAGAGAATAAGAGGATTACCAAGCGTATTAGCACGTAAGTGAATATAATGGATTATACTAGAATTCGAACTCGGCTCTCCGATTCCTCAATCCGAGCCGTTATCCATTACTCTAACGGGCCTCCTTAAAGACGAATGTCTCTCCACGCAAAAAGTAATTATTGCATTTTGTCAAGTTCTTCATTTTAAAATAAAACAAATATTGAAGAAATATCGGGTTAACCGGTTACGCTCCTCGCTCTTCTGAACTCAATCGAAGACAAAACATAAACACGTGCAAAATATCTAAAAGGGGGAAAGAAAAAAACATACTACCAAAGAAACGGTAGGATAAATCACAGACATATTATATATAAACTCTGCAACCATTCCATCTACTATCAGAGGAGTGGTTGTTTAGACCTTATTTACAGAGTCGCGGGCATTATCAAATTGACAATCAAAACGAGCTTTGCTATGTACTGTTAAAATATCTGCTAAAAGAGGAGACACAAGACGTTTTTACATTTTCCCGTTAACCCATTTACGGTGATAATTTTTTCGTTGCTTATCCTTTATCTAATATGTTTGTCTATATTCATATATACTTTTAAAATGTCCGTCTTTCAATCCATTACTTATAAAAATGGCTTTCAGCAAGAAGGCGTTGCTTTATTTGGTGTCAAAATAAATAAATTCAGTGATGAGTGATATTTTATAGTGAAAGTTAAACATTTTTTATCGAAGCATTTAGAATAAATTTGAATGATAATAAGTGAAAGATAAATCCTGTCAAGTAGTGAGAACAGCACCTGAACAAACAGGGAAACAAACTGAAAGTGAAAGTGAAAGTAAAATTAGCGCGAAATATAAGTTTTGGAATACGAAGGATACCGGAAAGTTATTGATTTGACCGACATTCTAAAATCATTATTTCAATATTAGGTCAGAAAACCACCCCCACATATATATGGATGTGTAGGTGTTCGTGTGTGGTGTGTGTGTGTGTGTTCGTGTGTGGTGTGTGTGTGTGTGTGTGTGTGTGTGTGTGTGTGTGTGTGTGTGTGTGTGTGTGTGTGTGTGTGTGTGTATTAGCGTGAACGAACGTTGGGTTGGAAGTGTAGTATATTCTTTCTAATCATATTGGACACACGCATACACATATATATATATATAATTTGTGTATTTACATCTATGAAAATATATATATATATATATATATATATATATATATATATATATAAATATATACACATATATAATTCTTGATATATATATATGTGTGTGTGTGTGTGTGTGTGTGTGTGTGTGTAATAATATTAAAAATAGGGCATTAATATCATATAAAAGGATTATTTAATTTTTAAATATCATTTTTTCTCTTGTTATCCCTGACTTCGAAAAACGGACATTTACCATAAATTGAGGTCTGGAAAACAGAAAAAAAAGTTGATATTTAAAAGTTAAAAAAATCTTTTATATAACATAATAGATAGATAGATAGATAGATAGATAGATAGATAGATAGATTAGATAGATTTTGAAATCTGGCCCAGATGAGAGTTCGGCCATGAAACTCTTGATTCAATCTAACAAATAAGTCATATATATATATATATATATATATATATATATATATATATATATATATATATATATATATATATATATATATTTCAGTCCTCTAGCCTTTGCCAAATCAAATCAGTATAAATAATCTAAATTTCATGCGAATCACTTTACATTCATTACGCATTACAGCGATTGGGACAGGCATGAGTCCAACTTCCCCTTAGGCCGTGTTATGTGGTGAAAGTAATTAGGAACGAAGCCCCTGTTCTACCATAAACCACTGTCTATCGCCCTCTTCCATAATATGCGAAATATTTTGATATGTATCTATGAGCATAGATCAATAAATGCGTAACCTGAAATGTTTCAGAATATTGATTTGAATCTTTCATCTTATGCTGCCCGATATGAGTGATTGATAATGACATGGGAAGAGATTATGTTGAAAAATACATATCGCTCATGTAAAATTAGCTTATTTTTTATTACTGAACTCAGAGCATTTGATGTACCTACGCATATCTAAATTTATATATCCTTCTTTATTATTTAAATGTTTTCATATATCTATCTATGTATCTATCTATCTATCAATATATATATATATATATATATATATATATATATATATATATATATATATATATATATATATAAAGAATGAATGGATTTATTTTACACTGACGAGTTTTATTACTTCAAGTGTTATCTATTTAGATTTCTCGAATGGGCAGGCAGGCCGATAGGCGTAATACACACTTTTTATTAAATAAAAATGGGGTAAACATTTCAAATACGGAACATCCACAATAAAAAAGGTTTGAATATATATATATATATATATATATATATATATATATATATATATATATATATATATATATATATATATATATATGTGTGTGTGTGTGTGTGTGTGTGTGTGTATTCTCTTAGTAGCCTATGACAAAGAATAATTGAAGATAATATCCATTTGCAATAAATGAGGACCTTAATAAATAAGGGAGTTTGAATATCTTTTAAGGGGTCAGTTCCAAACTAATACACGCCGGTGGGTGGGGCTAAATATTTACTAAAAATGTACCCCGCCTTCTATTAATTACTTAAGTGTATACACTCGCGCACACACACACACACACATACATAGATAGATAGATAGATAGATAGATAGATAGATAGATAGATAGATAGATAGATATATGTTACATAATTTATGAATGCATACATACATACGTACACATACACAAACACACATAACTACATACGAGTATACATACACACACATACACTTATATGTATACACACATACATATATACAATATTACATATATATATATATATATATATATATATATATAATTTTAGAATATTAAAACATAAAAAATGAAAGATTAAATTTAAGTTATATATTACGTACAGTAGAATTATACACGATTTGTTCTCATTTTACCTGTATATGCACATATATATATATATATATATATATACCCCTGTGATGAATATATATGCCTCTCTCTACTCCTCTCTTTCTTTCTTAGTTTCTTTCTTTCTTTTTTTTTTATCTTTCTCGTGGATTAGAAATCGTGATTAGTGAAAGTGAAAGTATAGAATGACCAGTAAAAAGAGAGACCGGAAATCGAGAGAAAAAAAAAAGGTGAAGAGAGAGAGACAGAAAGAAGAGTAGAGGGTGGGAGAAGGGAAAAAAGAAAAAGAAAAATCCGTAAATGAAGAAAGTAAAGGTTTTGTTTGTTTGTTTGTTTTTATCGAAAGGAGATAAGCAAATAAACCGAACTGCGAAATAAAACAACGAATGAAAATCAAGGAAATTCGTCACATCCAAAAGTTATTTACCAGACTAAGAAATAGTACAAATAAACTTTGCTTGATGCGGATCTGATACTTTAGTGAATAAAAAAATATACAACACGTGTATCGATTTCAGATGAATCCCGAATAAAAGCTAGAACTCCTCATTCGATTTATAAACGGGAATTCAAAACTGAGTGGCTGAAAATAAAACATCTTAACAGATAATATTGTGTAGATAAGCGTGTAGATAAGAATGCAAAGTAAAAGTCTGTAGCTTACCTGTACGAGAAACGCGATTCGGCTACGGTTAACAGCGACTCTCCGATAAAGTCCCGGTGAGTCTTATATAAATGCGAGTTCAGTCGACGATTCATTGGTCAATGGGATCGATCACGTCACATAGGTTCATATGCTATTTTTCTTTCTTTTTTTTTTACGGCAACTCCTACTCTTTCTCTCTGTTTCCCTACGTCTCTCCCTCTTTTCTAGCTTTCTTTCCTTTTCTCTCTTTTTACATTCCCGCCTCTGCCTCTTATTCTTTTTCATTCTTTCTTTTGGCATATTTGCATTTGTTTCCCGCAAATTTTAGCTTCCCGCCTCTTCTTCCTCCTCCCTCTGCGCCTCCTGATTTTTTCTTTTTTCCCTCATACTATTACTCTTTTGGCTCCCTCCCACTATCTGTGTTCAGTTTGATCCTCCCATTTTCATTCAAGTGATTTAACCTCGATTTTAATTTAATTCTTACACTCTTTTCTTTCTTACACTATTTCTTTCTTTCTTTTTCTTTCTTTCTTTCTTTCTTTCTTTCTTTCTTTCTTTCTTTCTTTCTTTCTTTCTTTCTTTCTTTCTTTCTTTCCTAATGTTTCTCCAGTCTTTCTTTCTATATTAATATTTTACCTCTTTTTCTTTCTTTCTTTCTTTCTTTCTTTCTTTATTAATTTATTTATTTATTTACTTCAGTATTCCTTTTTCTATCTCCTAACCGCTTTAATTATTTATTTCTCTATTTATTTATATTTTCTAAATTTCTTTCTTTCTTTACTATTGTTTCTTCACTCTTTCTTTTTATATTAATATTTTACCCGAATAGCATAGCTTTTTTCTTTCTTTCTTTCTTTCTTTCTTTCTTTTGCTTGTTTGTTTGTTTGTTTCTTTCTTTCTTTCTTTCTTTCTTAATATTTCACTTTTCCTCTACCTATCCCCTAACTGCATTAATTCTTTCTTTCTTTCTTTCTTTCTTTATTTATTTATTTATTTATACTTGCAAATATCCCTCTATTTTCCTTTATTTCTTAATGTTTCTCAACTTTTTCTTTCCTCTCTCTTTCCTTTCTCTTTCTTCCTTTCTTTCTTAATATTTCCCTTCTACTCTTTCTATCAACTATTTGTCATTGTTCCAAATGCTTTTCTTTCTTTCTCTATTTCTTTTTTCTCTCTTTCTTTCTTTCCTATTATTTGTCAATCTTTCTTTTTATATTAATATTTTGCCAGTATAACATTGCTTCTTTCTTTCTCTTTCTTTCTTTTTTTTTTGCTTGTTTGTTTGTTTGTTTGCTTGTTTCTTTCTTTCTTTCTTTCTTAATATTTCAATTTTCCTCTACCTATCCCATAACTGCATTAATTCTTTCTTTCTTTCTTACTTTCTTTCTTTCTTTCTTTCTTTCTTTCTTTATTTATTTATTTATTTATTTTTTTTTATACTTACAAATCTCTTTCTATTTTCCTTTATTTTTTAATGTCTATCAACTTCTTCTTTCCTCTCTCTTTCTTTTCTCTTTCTTTCTTTCTTTCTTTCTTTCTTTCTTAATATTTCACTTCTACTCTTCCTATCAACTATTTGTCATTGTTCCAAATGATTTTCTTTCATTCTCTCTTTCTTTCCTCTCTCCTTCTTTTTTTTTTCTTTCTTTCTTTCTTTCTTTCTTTCTTAATATTTCCCTTCTACTCTTCCTATCAACTATTTGTCATTGTTTCAAATGCTTTTCTTTCTTTCTTTCTCTCTTTCTTTCTTAATTTATATTTTCTAAAAGACTTTCTTCTTCCTTCCACTACATATTCTTTCTTGCTTTCTTTCATAACTTTTACCTTGTTCTCTGAAAGTTCCTACTTCCTTATT